CTGTGAAGGTTTGACGTAGCAATACTTTGTATTTAGTTGACTCTGTTCTATTTAATCTGATGCATTGTTAACTCTACCATTTTTATTGCAGGAAAATAGTAGTGTTTAATCTTCTGCTATATATTTGTATGTATATCATCATTTTTAAGCTAGTTTTTCATCTACATGTTAGAAAGTACCAAAGTCACATTCATGATACCAGAACAAATTTTAACTTCATTCTTGGTTTCATTTCAGTTTCTGTATCATACGCCCTGACGAAGTTTTTGAATGAGTACGAGGAAGAAAATCCACTCTGGCATAGATGTCCCAGTTGTAGAGAAGCATTTCCAAGTCCCAGCAGCCTGAGACTTCACATCCAAATTGGTTGCATAAATGCCAGTACTTTGCATGCAAAACAAGTCCAATCTATGGAAGCCAGATTTAACGATTTTAGAAAATGTGAGCGAATTAATCTATAATTAGTTAGTTTTTGTAGATGACTTATCAAATTACCACATAAATTTATCTCTATTTCCAGTGGTGCATCCTGAGCCGCATCTCAGTCCCTCCTACGTTGGCATGCAAACCGTCCACAGGAGAAGAGTGCCAAAACCAAGTGATGATTTACATGGAAAATATGAATGTCCAGATTGTCACAAAATCTACAAATGGAGACAACATCTTATCAGTCATACGCGATATGAATGTGGCAAAGAGCCCCAATTTCAATGTCCATTCTGTTCGTACAGAGGACACCAGAGGAGCACCTTGAAGCGCCATGTTATAAGAGTGCATAAACAATAATAAAGTTGTATAACTATTTTTAATGAGTAATTTCTAATTGTTTAAAATATTTCCAAGCGCACAACGGATTTATGTGTCAGCACCTTCTTCAACTTCAACTACACATTTTATGTATTCAAAGACCTCAATGTAAGGTCAACTAAAATACTGTATGGATATATTTAATTGTTTGCAATAACCACAGTCATAGATTCATACTACATTGGCTTCTAGCCGAGCGCAAAATAAGTGCATAAAAATAGAAGGGGACTGTAACGTCACTTAGTGAACGAGCGTTGCCGACAATCGTGGAACTCTCCTGATTGATTAAATGTCGGGAGAGTTCCACGATTGTCGGCAACGCTCGTTCAGCATGTGACGTCACAGTGTCTTCTAGTTTTATACGCTTTATACAATGGAAAACATATGAGGACTAGCAGTCCATGTAGTGTAAGGTCTGTGGACACAGTACTAACTATTTCTTATTCCAACTAATTGATCAGCATGCAAATTCCCATATTCATATTCCTAAATACAAATGTGATTTCCAGTAAAATTGTAATAAAAATAGCTGTTTGTGAATCAAAATTTTAAATTTTTTTGTGAATTCATGTGATTTTTTAGTAATTAAGTAATGTGTTTATAATTATTATTTATAATATTTTAAATATATCTTCTAATATAATAATAATTATTTTTACTGTATATATAAAAATTCAAATAATTACTATAAGTTACAACTGAATAAGCACTAAGTTCAAATCCTATTTAATAAGAAGTAGTTTATAAAATTATTATTTTATTGATTTTATTTAAATTGCTTGTGTTATTTCTGAATTGTAGATAGCTATTTGCAATAAATTTTCAAAAAAATGGTCTGGAGGCATTAAGTTTACTTTGATGTTTTACAAACCAATTTAATGATTTTTGTATTAATATTTATTTATCACTAAATATTACTTCCTATATTTTATTTTGCTTCTTTATAAATAAAATTGATTATTGCTATTGTGGGATACAATGTGACATTGAACAAAATTTGGAGCTTATATGGAAAATATTAGAATAATAAGTTTGTTATAATGTATATTTAGTAGTATTAAATTTTAAAAATTGAAAATGTATATTTGAACAAATTTATACAATAAGTTTAATAAAATTGGAATCTAATTGTTGAAATTGAATATTTAATTTATACAGGTTCCCATAACATGAACTTAATTTTGTACATTGATATACATATGTGTTTATTTTTAATTTACTGTAAACAATTTGCGAAAAAAAATTACTGCAAGAATTGTCAAAAAATAAATATTTTATTAAATATTATTCTAACATTTTTTCCTTTTTTTCAGTTTTTGATCTACGGAATCGATACAACGAAACATCTATCCTTGAAAATGCGTTCAAATGTCCTATGTGTCCAAGAATATATAAATACAAGAAAAATCTGACTTCACATTTGAAAAATGAATGCAATCAAGAACCAAAATTTCTTTGCAGTATTTGTGGAGCTAGAAGTCATCAAAAAGCAGGAATTAAAAAACATTTGATCAGAATACATGGCACTATGGATGATTGTCACATTTCGAAATTGATGTAGAAGTTTAACTGAAAAATATGACGTATATTTATTTTCGTATATTATAGTTTTTTATTGCTGTTATTTATTTGAACGAGTCTATCAATATTATTTTAATTTAAAAATAAATTTAAAATAATATAAATTAATTTCTAAATAACTTCAAACAAACTCTCACTACTATACAACCACGAATACCAGGATCAGTTTAAATTTAAAACGTGAATGTCATCCAATTTAAAAGATTAAAGTTTATTAAAATTAAAAGATATTGTATTTATTGTACTTCGAAGTAAATTTTCAAAAAAATGGTCTGTAAGCATTAAATTTATATAGAAATTTCACAAGCAAATTTATGGTTTTAGTATGATTATTTTTGCATCACTGAATATTACTTCTATATTTTTATTTGCTTCTTCATTTCATTTTGAGAAATAATGTGATTTCATTAAACAAATATCTGGAAAATCTTAGAATAATAAGTTTGTTATAATACTAAATTTTAAAAATTGAAAATGTATATTTGAACAAATTTATACAATTAGTTTAATAAAATTTGAATCTAATTGTTGAAATTTAATATTTAATTTATTGTAGGTTCCCATAAATATTCAACGTGAACTTAATTTTCTGTACATTGATATATGTGTTTATTTTTAATGCAAACATATAAATAATAAATATTTTATTAAATATTATTGTAACATTTTTTTCCTTTTTTTCAGATTTTTATCTACGAAATCGATACAACGGATCATCAATCCTTGAAAATGCGTTCAAATGTCCTAAATGCTCAAGAATATATAAATACAAGCATACTCTGACTTCACATTTGAAATATCAATGCAATCAAGAACCAAAATTTCTTTGCAATATTTGTGGAGCTAGAAGTTTTCAAAAATCAGGAATTAAAAAACATTTGATCAGTGTACATGGCAGTGCCTTGTGTTCTGATCCAATGTTTTTTAATTCACTATGGCGCTATGGATGATTGTCACATTTCGAAATTGATGTAGAAGTTTAACTGAAAAATATGCCCTATTTTATATCATGTGGTCTTTGATTGCTATTATGTATTGGTCAAAATTATTATTGTATTCATATAATTAAAAAATAAATTTTAATTTGTTAATAATTTTGTAACGAACTGTCTCTACTATTATACCACGAATACCAGGATCAGTTTAAATTTAAAACGTGAATTTTATCCAATTTAAGAGATTAAAATTTATTACAATTAAAATATGTTGTATTTTGTGACTCAGTATTTTACAAAATACAGATTTTTTTAATCACAATTGTTTTTTTCATATTATGCTGATATAATAAAAACTCGTATTTGACGTTTTTAAGACACTGTTTTTATCGATTATCGATCAATTGAATTAAATATTTTTATCGATTAGAAATTTGTAAAATCTATATTTAAGTCAAATTTATAATGTTGATTGATATTAGCAATAAGTAATAATAAATCCTATATATTTGCATTGTGAATAATTATAAGAAACAATATCCAAATACGGTTCTGAAATCCATTTTTTATAAATGTGATGATCTGATGAATAATTATGTAATAATATCATAGACCCTATAATACATGGAATGCTTGTCGAGCAAAAAACAAATTTTAAAAGATAGAAGGGGACTGTGACGTCACTGTGTGAACGAGCGTTGCCGACAATCGCGGACACTCCCGAATGATAACATTTTTTTCACAACAATTAATTAAGCACGTGACATATGACATCTAATCAATCGGGAGTGTTCCACGATTGTCGGCATCGCTCGTTCACATAGTGATGCCACAGTCCCTTTTTACTTTTTACGCTTTATAAAATGGAAAACATATAGGAACTAGAGTTCACGTAGTAAGGTCTATCAATAAAACACTCTATTGCATAATGTCTTGAAAATTTGTGATATCTACAGGGTCCGGCACTCGAAGTGTAACCAATTGAAAAAGCCATAAATTCAGTTTGGAAAGTTACTTTTACTCGATTCAAAGTACAAAATGTGTAAAAATAATACAACATTTAAAAGCAATTCACTTTTGCTCGATATGACCACCTTTTGCTTTGACTATGGCCTTTAGACGGACCCAAAACAAATCGCATTGGGCCGAACGTGACTTGCAGGTATTTTGGCCCACTGGCGGACAACGGCCTTTTTTAGCGCCTCGAGACTGATGTACCCCTTAGTTAAGACCTTGCTCTCTAAAATGGCCCAAAGAAAATAATCCATAGGATTCGCATCTGGTGAATTCGATAGCCATTGTGCGGACGTTTTGAAGTTCGGAACGTTGTTTTTCAGCCATTCTTGGTTTACTCGAGCTTTATGAGACGCTGCCGAGTCCTGTTGAAACGTCCATGGTGTGCCACCAAAATGTTTATCAGCCCATGGCTTCAAAGCAACCTTCAGAATACTTTACCGATAATATTGCGCATTTACCTTGACATCAGGCACGATGAAAACGATTAGAGATCGCTTATCTGCGGCTACAGCGGAACAAACCATTTTCTGTGGCGGGTGCTGCCTCTTGGTTGCCAATTGATGACTCAAATTCTTGTCTGAACTGTCGGTCAAGTAAACCCTATCGTTTTGAGAGTTCACAAATTGCTCAACTGTAAAAATTTTCTCGTCGAAAAACACAATGTTCGAAAATTTACCACGTTCGGCCCAATGCGATTTGTTTTGGGTCCGTCTAAAGGCCATAGTCAAAGCAAAAGGTGGTGATATCGAGCAAAAGTAAATTGCTTTTAGTAGTTGTATTATTTTTACACATTTTGTACTTTGAATCGAGTAAAAGTAATTTTCCAAACTAAATTTATGGCTTTTTCAATTGGTTACACTTCGAGTGCCGGACCCTGTAGTATAATTAATCGCACAATAGGTATTATTTATTTTTAGCAAAATATATATAATGGGTTTAAAATTTTAAATATTTTTTTAAGCTGTGTTTTGAAGTAAGTGGAATTTTCTTCAAAAAACTTCTAAACTTCTAAACTTCTAAATATACTATAATAGTACAGAATTTGCTAACTATTTACTTAACATATTAAATTCCATATTTTTATATGAACAGTTCAAATTACTTTTGGTCTAGAGTCCAGACATTTCAAGATATTAAATTTTTTTCTAATATTTAATTTTTTATTTTTCAGGTTTTCATCCTTCTTGGCAGAACGCAGAAGTCAATTCAAGTTATTTTGCCACCTTGCCTATGGCAAATGAATTTATACCTAGTACACAAACTTTGGAAGAAATTTTGACCAAACTTTTGGCGATATAGTTAGATGCAAAAATTGCAATAAACCTTATAAATACATTAGAAATCTTCAAAGGCACATGAAATATGAATGTGGAGTTGCTCCAATGTTTCAGTGTACTTTGTGTAATTATCAGTGTCACCAAAAAGGAAACTTGAAACTACATTATGCAAAAAAGCACAACAAATTTGATGTTAACCTTAATTAATTGATATTTTGGACTTGTTATGTTAGTTTTTTATGTACTTTTTATACAACTTTATAATTATAAAGAACGCTATATATTATGTTTCAATGCAGTATTAATGGCAATTTTTATAGTGGAATGACCTTTATTTAGTCTTTATTTAATTGATTAATATAACTTATATAATAATAATTATTTATTGAATGCTATTACATCCTACTTAAAATAGTACTTCAATATAATTTTTATTCATAAAGTTAATTAAAATATTTTGATATATAAATAACGGTAATCTATCAAATCACTTCTAAAAGCATTGTTCTATTTTTTGTAAATTTATAGTAAATATTATTGAAAAACACTTGTATATATTAGTAAATAATATAGAAATTATGAGTTTCTGTGATTATTTATAAAGGTATTATTTGAATTTTAGTGTTAAAATCAATATTTATTAATTATTAGGTAAGAGATATACGTTTATATATTTATTTTCAATAATATAATTATGTACAGGTATTATATGTACGATTTTAAAATTTCTGAACTAAAAGCCTCCTTTTTTCTTCAGAAAATTATTTATTTCTTTTTTTTAATCAGTAGATCATTTGTTAGTTAATTTAAAAAAAAAGTAAGTGTATAAAGGTATAATATATTTTTTAATTTTTTATCAATGGTTCCTGAAGAAGCTACCCATTTTCCTCAAAAAGTTGAACAAAATTATTTAAAAAATGTTTTTTTTTTTATTTGAAAAAAAAGTATGCTTTTAGTTTTTATTATACATGTGCCTACATTATTCAAAATTCATTGAGATTTTTTTACCATATACTAATATCACTAATTTCGTAACATATTATAACAGAAAAGATTAACAAATAAAAATTATATATTAAATTAAGTTTTCTAGCGTACAATCTATCTTGCAAATTTAAAACCACGCGCTCATTTCATCTTAATTTATATCATTACCAATTTGATAAGAAGACTAACTTTATTATACTTTTACTTTACAGGTTTTCCAAATTATCCGGCTACTTCAAAATCCTCGAAACAAGTATTCTTCCAATGTCGAGACTGTGGAAAGTTTTACAAATATGAAAGAAATTTACAATCTCATTTGAAAAATGAATGTAAAAAAGAGCCAAATTTAATTGCACTATGTGTGGATACCGAAGTCATCAAAAATCGAACCTAAAACGACATATGGGGACACATAAAGGCTATAAGCATTATCAGGAATTTTATTTTTGATAGAGCTAAAAATGAATAGATTAAAATAAATAAATAAATATTTATTATTATAAATAAATAAATAATATATTTAATTTGAGTAATTATTTATCATACTTTATATAATTGACTTATTTATTTAGACGATGAGAATTAAAATATCATTTAATTTATTTGTAATTATATTACTTCCTAAGAAAATTTAATAACTTATTTTATATTTTTATAAAATCATAATATGCAGTATGCTTTTGAGTTTTGGTACATAAATTATATTTTAATATATGATTTTTAAACTTCTGAACTCAAGGAAAAAAGAAGATTCTGAAGTTTAAAAGTCATAATTAATAAAAGATATCCAGAAAAATTCATATATATTTAAATTATTGTTAAAATTAATTTTTCATTTGATTAAAATAAGTAGGTATATGATAAATAAATCCATTATGTGCTCAAGCTATCTAAGAATGTTGTATTATATTAGAAATTATCGAAAAATAAATTATTTGTAAATAATAAACTACAAACACTATATGGTTATTTTCCTTGCAATTATTTACATTCACTAATTGAATATAGAGTATAGGTCCGCGGGTAAAAAGGTCCATCACCGATATCGCGAATTATCGGTACCTGCGTTTCGTGGGAACAAGAACATCTGGCGTGTCGACCCGGCGCCAAAGCTCCGGGTCGACGAGCTGCATGTTTGGGTTATCTAACTAAGGTAATTTTATGTTAGAGATCTATAATTTCAAATAATCATCTGGTATCATAACCGCTTGGAACCAATCTGGAAGGTGGATATCAAATCCGAAACAAGATGCGAAACCATTACAACAGAAACATTATTCAGCATTCTAAAATGTGTCTAATTCAATTTCTTGTTAATATTATTAATTTTGTTTTTTTTTTCTTTACTCTAAAATTATTTTAATTTTATTGTAATTATCGTTTCAGATTATACACTTCAACAGAGTCGAAATAACATGGAATTGTTTAGGTGTAACAATTGCAATAAACCTTATTCATATGTGAGAAGTCTTCAAAGACATATGAGATATGAATGTGGAGTCGAACCCATGTTCCATTGCAACATTTGTCAATATCGGTGCCATCAGAGAGGAAATTTGAAGTTACACTATGCTAAAAGACACAAAATATAAATTATTATAATATTAATGTACATATTTATGAGTAGAGATAAAAACTTAAGTTGAAGATTTTGGAACTCCAAATAAGGGCGTTTTTTATTATATTAGTGTAGGTAATTTAATGCAGCATCTGCTATTAGGCAATTTTTATAAACACATTATTTAATTATATTTATATATATTTAAAATATCTTTTGTATTATATAACTTTTTATTCTCAGGTTTCTTCTATTGCGGCTACGATCCATTAGGAAAACTGGCTGCCATCCAAAGGAAAGACCAGTTTACCTTGAACACTGTAGTTAATGAAAATGCATCTTTCAAATGCAAAAAATGTAGCAAAACATATAAATACCAAAGCAGTCTTTATAATCATGTTACATATGAATGTGGAAATCCACCGAAATTTCAATGTCCAGTTTGTCCATATAAAGCTCACAGAAAAGGAAATCTTGCCTTTCATATCAAAAATAGACACCCGGAATTTGCAATGTTTTCTGTACAAGAAATGGGAATATAATTTACAATATATATAAAAAAAACTTGATATTATTGTTATGAATAATTAACTATACTTTCTGTTGTTTATTTTATTGATGAATCATAAACTTTTATTTATGGAGAAATATGATGCTTGTGGTAAAACCAACTATGATAATTAATGTTTCATTTACTTAAGGTTAGATGTATACTATTAATTTTTATTTTGATATTTTTGATTAATCAATTTCTTTGGTTTGTTTTGGAATATAAAAATTTTGTTTGTAAAATTATTAAAAATCATCTATTATTTTATCATAGAGTACTTTAAGAACTTAACTGCTATGAAAGATATTTGGTTAATTAAAAAGAATAATTTTTTACTATATTTATGAATATATTTTTGTTGAAATAAAAAATATACTTGAAGTTATTTATTTTGTACAATAAAATTCTAAAAGAAGTGTATAATACTTCAAATATTTGTGCAAAAAAATTACTCAATAGGTACATAATTTTGGCAAAAATTAAAATAATTATTATGGCATACATTGTTTAAATTTTTCACAATTATAGTTTTCTTTGTTGTAATAAAATGTAAATTATTTTTTAGAACTGTTACTAAAATCTAAATCTTAAATTAAAAATTACAAAAGACATTACTTTGAAATATTTAGATTAATACTAATACATATTAAAAACACATAAAGTATAATTTCAAAAAACTTAATTTGTAACTTGTATTATTTACATATTATGTGATTTTAATATGTATTAGTGTTAATCTAAAAATTTCAAGTAAGTAATGTTTTTTGCAATTTTTCAATTTATATATATAGGCTGTCCTTTTAGTTAAATTCCTTTTTTCTTTCTCTATTTATATTTAGATTTTAACTTTACTTTTTCTGTTTATTTCAAAATTCAAAGTTGTAGAATCACTGAAGATGACGTAGAATTTTACGTCGAAACGTATGAAAAAATAAAGATGTTTGAAAAATTCTTAGTTTAATTATTTTTTACTTGATGTTTTATAGTGTGATGGTTAAGTTCACGGATTGGTGAGTTCGACCTGCGCTCTGAACAACGTGACATCGTGCAGCAGCGATGTCCTTTTGTACTTTGAAACATAGTTAAAAATATATTTCCAATTGAAAATAGTGCTTTTTGGGCACTGCGGTGTGATACGGCAATGGTAAATCCCCTGAATTAAGTTGGATTTTAACTCAGCTCTCGGTCCTGCCCTAATGCAGTACTGCCCATTATTTTTTAGATATTTATATATGTATTTTGTTGTATGTATATATGTGAATGCATAGAATATATAAGCATGCTGTTTATTTACTCAACGTTTTTTTCTAGATATTGGTTTGTATTTGAATATCTTTAGCTGACAAAGATTCTTAAACTAAGATCTTAATTGTGAATAAAATTATGAGTTAGTGAAAGCCATTTACTAAATTAATACCGAATTATTATAATAGATAGGTATATCTCATTGTTACGATTTCTTATAATAAATTTTGTAATAATTGATTTATTATTATTGTCTTTATTTAAATTTGAAAATTTAGATTTCAACATACAGAGACATTTAGGAATGGTAAGTTGATCAATCTTGCTCTGCAAAACCTGGTTAATTCTAAAAATTTGTATATATGATTTTATTAATCTGATTTTATATACAGGGTTTGTATTTGCTTTAAAGGAGGCATAGACATTTTATTTTAATATCAGCTCAAATTTATAAACAATATTTTTTTCTATAACCTTACTAATTATTTATTTTTTATTTTTAGAAGATTCTCTCCTGGATTACAACAGCTTGGATTTCAAACAGATGCCAGAAAATCTAATTTGTCCAATGTGCGGGAAACATTATTCGTATTTGAAGACTCTAAACCGGCATCTCAAAGAATGCGGAGTGGAGCCTCCTATACAATGTGCTTTTTGTACTTTTCGTTGTTATAGAAATCATAATTTAAATGTTCACATGAGAAGACGACATCCCAGTAATGTGGATCACTAGACAAAATTAGATAAAAAAGAGTTCTGTAGACTAAAAATGCGATCACTCAGAAAACTGCAAAGGCCTGATGTTAATTAAGACAATATAATTTGTATGTTCAGTGTCATTATTTTAGTCTAAAATTTGTTGAATGAATATGCAAAAGTCATCCACAATTTTCCTTCCCTTTATACTTCAAACTTATATGCTAACTGGGTACGGTTGTGCCAGAGTATGTCATAACAGCTAAACTATACTGATTATAAGATAGGGTCTAAAAGGGAGAAAGATGAAGTATGTTTATTCGAACAAGTTCTCATTACTCCTTTGAATCAGAGCCCTACATAAACATGATCGGTGAACCCAATGGTTTTTAAGTGAGTTTTTTTAAGTATAACTTCTTTAGGCGCGACTAGGGTGTAAATCCGTACAAGTGCAACGGAAGTGCGTTACGGCAGATAAGATAAGAGTCAAGTGCCAATGATTCGTCATTCGCTCTTGATGATATCATTTCTGTACGGGTCGATTGTGATTATTCGTCGCGTATGTGAATAAAGATCTGTCGTTGTATGCGTACCGGCGTCAACGTTGTATGCGTACCGATATAAACACGAAAATCGGCATAGATAAATAAACATTTTAAAGCTACATTGTAGTACAAATCTTGATTTATTGAAAAATGCTTGAATCAGAAGAATATTGTACACTGTTTCTTAGAAATTATTTCTATAATATTCGTAGTTTCTATAAATCTTTGAAGTTATTAAAATGGAAAATATTTTTAGGCAAGACAGATATTACAGCTGTTCAAGAATGAGATTATATGGACGACGGAAAAGTAAATAAAAATACAAGCAGTCAATGAATGTATGTTAATTTTAATTACATGAAGTTCTTCAAACACAATTACATGATGAGTGAAGTTGCAAAAACATTACTTGTTTAGACGTTATTTAACATAATCCACTGCGTGAACGAATATTATAGAAGTTATTAATCAGCAATTACTTCATTTCTCTGATAAAGGTTCATTTCTAAATACTAATTACAATGACAAACCGATCATGTCATATTTGAAGTATGACTTTAATTACATTATTGTTTTAAATATTATACATATTTTAATGCTATTATAAGTATATAATTTATAATTTATCATTATATAAAAGTGTATAATGATTGACACTAATAAATATGTGCATCACAAGTGTTACTATATTACTGATATAATGATGTATTTATTTTTACTTAAATGTCATATTATACAGCTGAAGTTGAACATTATTTGATCCATCGAATTTGAGGACAGTATTTCAGCAGTTCCACGTTGGCAAATGTTTATTTACAATTTAATTTACTTTTTCCAAGGTAACTGGTAAATTACCGGAATTATTGCTGACCAAAAAAAAGTGGCACAACCGCACCCAGTCTCCCCTATCAATTTTAATTGTCACAACTAGCAATGTTGCTATTTGGTAGCAATATTACATATTATGAATAAGATCTCAATTAATAAATTTTAAAAATGATGAATGTATTAAAAATTGAGCAATGTGTGCATTTCTGAGTGTTTTTATTAATTTAATAGCTAATAATTGCTCACTATTGATGATCTCACTAATAAATGACATGCTAATTTAAACCAAAAGTAATTTCAGATATTTTATAGCAAATGTTGTACAAATTATCATTATTAGATTTTAATATCAAGCTTTTTAATGAATTTTCTTCGAAACTAATTATTTATTTAAAAATGTTGTTAGTTATAAAACTGTGAACCTTTATGAAATTTGTTTACATCTATATTGTAATGTACCATAAAATTGTATATAATTCACCAAATTCTAATTTATTAATATTATTGTTTTGAAAACAAATATATCAAAATCAAAAAGAAAACTTTGTTTTAAAATTTATACTTATTATTGACACATTTTTATTCAACAGATTTTTTAAACGTAAATGTTTTAGGAATACCATCATATTTTTATTGATATTATGTTAAATGCATGTCAATTAAATAAACAAGCATGCGAATGGGACAATTAAAACTCATTTGTTATCTTAATTAATATAACTATTTTTTTTCACAGGGAACGTAATTCATTCTGCATTTGGATTTCAAGCCAATCAATTTGAAGCAGTAGATGCCAGTCATGTATTTTCTGAAAAACTTTGGGCTCATTCTAACCAATTTCGAAAACTAGAAAGAAAAAATGAATGTCCACGGTGTTCGAAAAAATATACTTTGAGTAAAAATATGAAAGCGCATATGAAATTTGAATGTGGGAAAGAGCCTATGTTTCAATGTCCATTCTGTCCGCATAAAGCCTATTATAAATATAGATTGGAAGTTCATAAAAAGACACATAAGGACAAATTATTGATATGATACTAATTATTGATTTTTTTTTAAGATTGACAATAAAACCGGATGATACTTAAACTTTTATTAATCACACTACAATGCCTATAGATGACACGATATGTTGATTTTTGCTTCTGAATAATTGAGGATTATAATTTTTCCTTATACCTTTATTAGTATGAGTGTATTATTTAATTTTTAAATACATTTTTATTAATGCTGATTGTAATTTGAATACTTGGAATTTGGATACTTGGAAATTGGATACTTGGACGGCTTGCTGGCTCGTACAGCAGTGTGTGAAGTTCTGCGTAAATTCTGGAGCTCTTCATTGGAAATTTTCTACCTAGCTGCAAAATTAAATTTAAATAAGATTTTGAATTCTAAATTTCTAACCTAATTGAATTTTCAAATCCTGATGACATATAGAATTAATCTTGTGTCTGATTTATCCATCACACTTCAAAAAAAACTTCTTAGCAACTTTAACCCGTTCCACTCGCGAATTGCGAGATTAATATGTATTTTGCGGCCGAAGCGGCGGCATCCGAGTAGAAGGGGTTAAATATTAAGTAAATATTGATAGTAATAATTAAAAATTTAATTTGGTAGTTTTTGTGCCATTGATTGATAAAAAATGCCATTATCTATTCATTGAACATTTGGTCGCATAATTTAAAATACAAATCACTGAGGTAGTAGATTCAAATTAAAAGACATATTGATTTATGTAGGGCAAAGCGGGGCTTAAAGGTCCGCGGAGAAAAGGTCCACCACCGATATCTCAAACACAAGTAAAGTTAAGAATTTCTTAATAACAATATTTGAAAGTATAGGGGAAAACATGTATAACCAGCTATAACCTGTTGTTATGTTTATGTGTTATTTCTTGTGATATATTTGGTTTGGTTTTTACAATATAAATACTCAAAGTCAAATTGGATCTTTGTGCCCCGCCTTACTCTATATTATTAATTATTATTATATTATAAATTAATTTTCTGATATTTTGATATTAGAATACCTTTATTAGTATGTTGATATATTATATCATCAGTTGATATAGTATATTTAGTATATTTTGTTGTAACAATATGAATACTCTAATTAATATTTATATTTTTTGTAAAATTTTATACTCTACTCATTAACAAGAATTAAATTTCTATTTCTTACAGTTTTGATTTTTCTTCTTAAATATAATAATGCAATTGACCTACTACAATATGAAATATATATATATATATATATATATATATATATATATATATCTTAGGGTGGTCCTTAGTATGGACATTTTCGAATTTCCAAATTGATAAAAAACAATTCTCTGAAAGTTTTAGCTCTTAATATTAACTTTTAGATAGTGCGCAATTCAATCAAACTTCGTATGGAAACAGCATGATAAAAAATTTGAAAATTAAAAAAAAAGAATTAGGTATAACTTAGCGACAAATAAATTAAAAGTGAAAATTCGTGTCATTTTCTATTGAAAATTCGACGCTCTGCAAAATTTTTGAACATTTTTTCATGGTATTTTCATACAAAACTTTGATTGAATTGCGCTCGATCTAAAAGACAATATTAAGGGCTAAAACTTTCAGAGAATTGTTTTTTATCAATTTGGAACCATTTGAGACCTTGGGAGCAAGGAAATTCGAAAATGTCTATATTAAGGGCCACCCTAATATATATGTATATGTATGTGTGTGTGTATGTGTACAATGTACATAAAATAAATTATTCAAAAAAAAATATAATTTTATACATATATATTACAATACTGATTTTTAATTGCATGATTTTCAAAAACCGCAGTTTTATCATTACTAATTCGAATTATAAAATATATTCCAGATATAAAACTCCATGTGCAGAGGCAGCTTCTGGTCAATACTCAGCCTCGTCCTTGCAGCCGTTGTTTTCTGGTATTTAGGGACGAATTGGCTTTGCTCCACCACAAAAAATATTTGGTGTGCAGAAACCGAAGAAAAGGAAACACTTAAATTTTCACAATCATTTAATTTACCAAAACGCGTGTCAATTGAAGAAAAGTGTTACAAGTGTCCTAATTGTCCCCGAACATATGTGGGTCCTGGGCCTCTCAATCGTCATATTACATATGAATGCGGCAAGGACCCGCAATTTCAATGTCCTCATTGTGCGTATAAATGTCATATCAAGAGCAATATGAAGTCTCATATTGTTAGAAGACACAGTAGTTCTGTGGCAGAAAGTTTACTTACTAGTGATAATAGATAATTGAATAATTGAACTATTTGGCTTCGAAGAAAATTCGAACATATGTCAACATCAAATCAAAGTATTCCTTGTTTTTCTGAGCTTTGTTTACCAACTCTTAAGAGTTTTGGAGATTTGGCATGTAAATTCAAGGATTACATCATCTCAAATTCTTATATGGGCTCCTTCATGGTCTAATAGTTAGAGCTAAAGAACTCAAAGCAGAGATCCCAGGTCCAATATTTTGATGTCAAGCAGTAGTGCCATGGGTTTGCACTTAGATAGCAATATGGTTTTAAGTGAAAATAGCCCTCACTCGACTTTGGTGTATAAAAAATCGTCAGTATTTCAGAAATTGTAATAATAATTTCATCACATGAGAAAGACGACCGTTTGGGTTGCAATCTACAAAGCTTCGTCGTCGTTTAAGAAATCTGCACAACAACTCATAGAACTCGTTAAGTTCTGATTGTTGATAAATTTATCATATCAATATCAATGGTATATTATGAATTATCTATCAAAATTAAGTAGGGGGAAGTCCTCTAGTGGCGGACACCTAAGATTATTTATAAATAAATCAAAAAATATTTTACGAAATGTTTATTTAATCATGATTTATGTTAGATAACAAAGTTAGAAATCAAACTAAATTAACAAAAACGCAATCTTTGCTAAACAATAATTAATACTATCAATCAAACTTTGGTAACAAAAAATATGATATTACAAAGTGGCACCTAGTACCGGGCATTTTAAAATAACCTGCATTGATTACATATGTGGCCATCTCAGCACTATGAAATGTCTGCACATGTGTCTTTGACGAATATTCTTACATATTGCAAAAAAAGACATTATCCATTCTCCCTTTTGGCTGGGTCATACCGATGCTCTCAGCTGGTGCATTCACCATATGCTTTTCATACTTCGACTAGGAAATACGAAAAATGGGGGCGTTACGGGGCTTCCCCCTAATTCTAGCTGCAAAAAAATAATCAAACATTCAAATTATAAAGGCATTTATGTTTGATTGTGTTCTTATATTGTGATAATTTGAATATCAAAAATAAAAATGAGCATTGGATTTAGTCCACATATTTAACAAACAAAAACAATAGCATATACAAAAAGATAATAATTATAGAACTGACATCATATGAAAAACATATAAGATATTCTAGGCGAATAAGTTTATAAATTTCTATTAACTTTATATTATATTATTTGCTTAATAGACTGACATTTATAGACTCTTTAATGTAAAATTACGTTAGTACTTTAA